AGGGCTGAATTCTACTCGTTAGAGTCACGCGCGCGTAGTTACGTCAAATCAAAAGGTGCCTTTTCATCATGCCTTATCATTTCCTGCAGCTAAAAATTCTTATCTACCTAATAGCATATCGGCGACGTGATGACAACTATAGAGGGCGCCACACAACAGACCAGTCTTGACAATCTCGCGTCAGCGCCTGAGATTTTATAACTTCCTCTGTGAATGTAAATACCACATAACACAATAAAATGATGACACGACACGACGCAATCTACCATTTACCAATCTTTATGTATTTGGAAAAAATATAATAAAAGATACATTATTTTTATTTATAAAGGTCCCTCTATTAGAACCATGGAATTGCCCGAAAGCTAAAGAATGGGACAGCATTTCGACTAAGGCTTGGCTTGACGAAGTCTGTTGGACAGACACGGCAAAAAATGTTATAAGTATACTGTTACACTCAATACACGCATGTGAGCCGAAAGAGTTATCGTTACTCTATTTTCTGTGGTACATCAAGTCTGGAGCTGGTTAGTGTATATTTAAACGCTTTCAAAGTTACAATTGTCTGTGTTTTAAATTCTGTAAAATAAACCAAACTAGAAAACTGCTGAATGTCTGTCTGCAGTAGTTATGTATTATATATACTTGCCAAATTTCGGCATTTATGAATAATCGTTTATGTTACTATAGGAACGTTGAGAATATCAAGTACTGAAAAGGGAGCCCAGGTGAGAAGTGTTAAAAATAATTTAATGTTTACTCTATACGAAAATACAATATATAATAGAGATATTGTCATTGATTACGCAAACATTGTATTGATGTTGTTCAAGTATTTTAATTATTTAGATTCATGTATAAACTTTTTTTAAGTACGTAAAACATATATTTGAAAAAAATGCGGAATTATTGAAATTATTAATTTTGTTTACTTCCATCCAGTTTTGTGATCTATTTTCTGTTCATACTACGTGTTGTCTGTGTTTTCTAGGAGAGAAAATTCGTGGGAGGTTCACAACAGATTTGTGAAAAAATAGTGGACCTTATTGGAAAAGGTGATTTACATTTTTTGAGTCTTGTCATTTGCAATGAACATTAGAACATACATGTATTAACCACAGGTTACAGACATATTGATAGGTGTTTACATACTCGGGCAAATAACTTCCTTCCTGGTTTATACAATATCATTTTCTTGATAGAATATTTACAAATAATACGTTAAATATGATTATCTTTATTTCAGATAAAATTCTTTACAACAGTCCCGTTGTCAAAATCGAGCAAAATGACGATGGCGTGATAGTATCAACAGCGAGTGGACGTCAAATCAAGGTACAACTTCAGTTAATTGTACTCCATATTAAT